TTGGCCTTTGTTATTTACTTTCCAACTTTCAAATGTATATGAAGCAATTGAAAATACCACAGCTTGGGTGAGGAGTGCCTTAGTCATCTTCAAGTGATACTCTTGTTCTTTAGTATTTACTGCTTTTAGTACAACTTTAATACTGCTCTTAACAGAAGTTTAGCCAAGTGCAATATGCATCATTTGATTTCTTAACTGTGACTTCTATGGATGGTATTGACAGTGGATCCTAGTAAAAAGAAAGTCCTGACTTTTCCCCCTCTCCTTTTAACATGATGTTGTTTATTGGTCCAGTTGCTTTTACTTTGCATCTGTTTGTACTTCATTGTATAGCATGTGTGAATTCCAAAACATAGTCTTTCCCTCCACCAAGCATTTTACTATCTCATTGGATGCTCTAAGCAGCCTGTTTTATGAATGTCAGTGCACTTTTTGAGTATTTATAATGTGCCAAGCACAATGTTAAGCATTTCTTGGGCTCAGATGGTGTAGTCTATTGCTAGATACATTACTAACCCAAAGAACTCACATCTCCTGTAGTTCAAATCCACTGGCTGCTCCCAGGGATAAAGATGGACAGTGTTGTGATTATAGCCTGGGAAACCTGAAAAAGAGTTGCTGTGGGTCAGACCTGAATTGATGACAGTTAATTTAAAATGGTTTTTAGTTTCTTTGTTTGTTTTGATCTCTTTCAATCACTACCATTTTAATACCAACTTGAAAGATGTAAAAATGGTTTTAATCTGATCCTTTAGTAGCCACAGTCTCTTTTCTGAAAACTTGTTCCAGATATGTTAGGATTCAGAATTTTGGGGAGATGTATAAGGTATAGTTTATATCTTATATAATACTACAGTACAACAGCACCACATAATAAAATGCATTCATGATTACATAAAAACATGTATAAACTGTCTCACTGAGTGAATAAAGGTCTTTAATAGGATGTTGGTGCCAAGTTAATTATAAAAGAATTTTCATTTTCAGATTATTTTTATATTTTATAATTGTGGGTGAGTTTCCCACTTTTGTGTGTTTCAGAGTTGGGACTCAAGTGCTCATTCTGATCTGAAGCTATGTTTTATTGTTGATGTTCTTGCATTCCATCGAGTTGGAAGTGACTAATAGCTGATCCTCCAGTGGGTTTTCAGCGGCTGTAAGTCAGATAGAAAAAGAATGCCCATCCTTCTCCCATGGAGCAGCTGGTTGATTTGAACTAAGTATCTTTGGTTGGCATTGCACAGCTCTTTACTACTAGGCCATCAGATCTTCCTTGTACTTTCGTAGGGTCTTACATTCTTTAGAAGCAAAGACAATAGCATGGAGACATGGGGTACAGCCGAAACTAAAAATCTGTGCTTCCAAACCCAAGGATTTTCTAGTGTGCCATGTTACTGTTGACATAGACTTCAAGTGTCTTTTTTCAGAAGTTAGGGATGAGTTGATTATAGTCATCATATTCTTTGACTTTGCCGGGGCCGGCCATATGTGTCAGCTCTCGTGGTACTTATGGAGGAAATGTCTGAGACTTAGGGTTACCTGTGGCCAAGAAAGACAATCATCACAGGGACTTTGGAATACACCAACATACTTCTGCCTCCTTTAATACAACTTTGAGTTTGGCTATGGTTTTTTTATAAACAGAATTCACTGTCTAAGCAAAGAGGAATAGAACATCATCACTGATAATCCAGTTTCTCTTCTTTAAATTGTATTGAGGGTCTCCATTCTCAGATTCTGTGATTTGCTAGAAAAACTTCTAAGAACTCGGAAAAACCATTGTGTTTATGGTCACAGCTTATTATAGTGAGAGAATACAGATTCAAATCCTCTTGTTGCAATTGAGTAGGAACTGACTCATGGCTGACCTTCCATTGGGTTTCTGAGACTCTAAATTATATGAGAGGACATTGCCCCTGTTTCATCCTCAGAGCCATTGGTGGAGGTGAACTGTCAGAGAAGCATGGCCTTTGGGTTAGCATTCCAACTCCCTATGGACTACACATCATCAGAGCACAGATTAATGTCAGCAAAGGTAAAATAGATCAAGAGTTGAGAGACCAAGAGCAAGTTTCCAGTTGCTAGAGTACCAGTGTGATTATAGTTACTCAGAATCCATCCTCCAATCCTCCCTGCTTCCACCCTTGCTCCGAGGAAAACTATGTGGCATGCCCAAGGCCTCGTTGTTGTTGTTGTTGTGTGTCATCCAGTCTCCTGTGACATAGCAACTCTGTGCACAACAGCCCTAAACTCTGCTCTATCCTGTGCCAGTCTCACTGTCTCCGACACACCGACACCAATTACCCCAGTCACTGAATCAATCCACCTCATAGAGGGCCTTCCCCTCCTGTGCTGTCCCTCTACCCTTCCAAGCATGATGTCCCTCTCCAAGGATTGGTCCCTCCTTGCGACATGTCCAAAGTATGTCAGGCGAAGCTCCAGAATCCTTGCCTCCAAGGAGCAGCCTGATTTCACCTTCTCCAGGATGAACCTGTCTGTTTTTTTAGCAGTCCATGGTCTGTTCAATACTCTTTTCCAGCACCACAGCTCAATGGCATCAATTTTCATTCTATCATCTCTAGTCATTGTCTAGCTCTCTGATGCATAGCAAGTGATTGCAAAGACAATGGCCTGTATCAGGCACACGTTAGTCTCCAGAGTGACCATTGCTCTTCAGTACTTTGGAGAGGTCTCATAGCATTTCCTGAAATGTTGTCCTGATCAGGCAGGATATTCCAGAGACTTGTGCCCTCAGGGACTGGTCAAGAGTTCCTCCTTTGTTTGCAATATTTGGGTAACCTAGGCCTGAGTTAACCTTTTACTGCATAACTGGATTTAAAAACAAAGGTCATGCAGCACATGGGGATTAAGACAAGAATTTAAGAATCTCCTTTTAAAAGAATTAGAAAATAACCAGTCACGCAAAAAAGACAAACTTCAGTATTACTGTAATTTTATTCTATGAACAAATTATACATTTATTGGGGGCTTCTAAATGTATCCCTTGGGATTAAAAACTGAGTTAGACATATTTCTTGTATGCAAGAAACTCACAGGTAAAAGAGATAGAATTAATGCAGATGTTATTATGTGCACCAACTCCAAAAGCAATGTGACTAGAGTGGTGGAAGAGCCTGAGGCAATGCAGGTTGTGTCTTCACAGGGGCAGTGGCACTTGATGGATGGCATGGCTCAACACTTCCTCTTTGCTTCCTGGTCCCTTACTATCTACGTGTTTCTCCACATAGCTCTTGACCCTCCCTTCCTCATCTGCATCCTACTTCTAAATGATAACATTTCAACCCAGGGTCCTCTTTCTTTCTTTCTCTCTACATTCTCTCCTCAGGTAATCCCATCCGTGTATCCATTAATACCTTCCATGTGGGGGCAAAGCTTCAAAGTGTGTATCTGGCCCACACACCTCTCTGCTGAACTCTAGTGAATGGCCACCTGTCTCCCTGAACATTCTCCATCACAGACACCTCAAAGTTAACATGTTCCAGGTGGAACTCATGATTCTTATCACCCAGGCCTGTTTTTTCCTCTGACCTGTCTGACTTATTTCACCCAGCTGCTCAAACTGAAACCTTGCTTATTCTCCCTCCCTCATCCCTGATGTCTAAACTACCATCCAAATCCTATCAATTCTTTTTTCCAGAGTGGATTTTGAATCTATTTCTTTCCTCTTCTGTTCCTTTCATGGCACAGGTCACCCCTTTTGTCAACTTGCCTTGTCATGTCTATTCTTGTCCTTCTCTTAGGCATTATCCATGTCTCAATAGCCAGAGAGGTCTGAGTGATGTTGGGCCTAGTCACTCAGTTTTATATGTTTTTTGTGGCCTACACACCCTTCAAGGCTCTGTCTGATCATCTCCTTTGCTCATTGTTGTTGTTGTTGTTGTTATGTGCCATCGAGTCGTTTCCGACTCGACCCTTTGCTCATTAGACTGAGCAATTCTGAGCTCAGAGAAGTTGAGTATCTTGGTCTTGTTTATATTATTTTTTAAAACAAAAATCTTTTTCTCCTGTGCCTTGTTATAAGTGAAAGCTCTGAAACAGTCTTATCCCCTCCTATGGCCCTTTCCATCCTTTTTTGTTCTGTTTCTCCCCTTTAGGTCTCAGCTTTAAAGTCACTCCAGTGGAAGTACTTCCCTTCCTGATGTTCTCAACAAAATATCCTTCTCCCCTCCCTTTTAATCACTGTTTTATTCAGCACCTAGGTGTATAGGTGCTGTGCTCCAGTAGTTTGCTTGTGGATGTGGGCGAAGGGGAAAGCTGGGGGAGTTGGGAGGTTTAGATTGCAAAGGGTCAAGGTTGTTTTGTCAGCAGAACTTGGGGCCTGTGCGATGGAGTAGTTTTTTGGTAGTCATATACAGTTGACCTATAACAATCTGAGTCATGAGGTTCTGGGTCCCCATTTGGAAAGTATTAATGTAGAGTCTATCAGAATCATTTACAGCCTGGATGGTAAATACTTCTTCACTCTCGTATCCTCTGTTCATGGCAGACATCATAATCAATTGGGATCTTTTCAGTGGTAAATATAGAAACCAGTTCCTTCTCTTTGGGTACCAAATGGCTTTACTATCCTTCCTAACTCTGGAAACCCTGACTATTGCAGTGAAACCTGTGAGAACCAGAACTTACTGTTTTCTTTTTCTGAGTCTTGTAAGTCTTTCTGCCTTTGACAGGATGCAGTCTTACCACTTTTCTGATGCTCTAGATTATTAGAAAAATATTTGAATTTTCCTTCTGACAGTTTTCCACCTTCTACACACAAGTTTTATGGTAGTTGAATTGACCTAACTTGCCATTGTAGGCTGGCACAATTTAAGGTAAAATATACTTTAAAACTCTAGTTAAATATCCATAATTTTATCTTTTTAGAGAAAATATGAATAGAAGCTTTCTTTTAAAAAAACAAACAACAAATGACTGTCACTTTAGATGGCATATATTTAATCAATTCTCCCCCTCTTCTTTCTTTCCAGGAGAAAATAATGAATATCAAAGGAAAAATAATTCTGTCAATGCTGGTTGTCTCTGCTTTATTCGTTGTGTTTTGGGAATATATCACCAGGTAATTATAAAATGTGATGGAATTATGTCAATGAAAGTATTAAGTCTACTGTATTAGTATAAACTGAGACACTATGTTGAATTAGAATTAACTGAAATTATAAGTAAGAAAATTAATCCTTCTTGTAACCTTGTGGCCTACTTTAAAATTATTAGATCACCTTATAACTTCTGGAAGTTAATCATTCTCATTTTTCTTGTTATGTTCCAAATATCTTGATTTTTTCCCCCTTCTAGTTGTGTACCATTGAGTCAGGTCTGACTGGCACAGGAGGAGATTGCCCCTCCTTCTCCAGTGGAGCATTTGGTGGAATTGAACCATGTGCCTTAATATCCTGATTTTTATAACTGCAGTTTTAAAGCGCGATCTGGGCACAGTAAACTCAACTGAAACTCAAAATACAATTGTAAATCATTTGTATGATCAGGAATGGAAATTGCCTTAAGAAATTCTAAGAAGAATTCCATGTGAAATCCACCCTAACTTTTGCAATCCAAGAATATTTGCAGTTTAATGGAGCAGCTTAAGCTCTTTATTTTTGCCACAAAATACACTGTGAGTCACTGGTGATTCATTTGTGCCTGGCCAAAGTTTTGAGGTAGTTTTTGTTTTGTTTTGATTTATAAGGTCTAGAGAGTAAAATGAATGAAACATTTGAGTTTTCAACCCTCTAGTGAATTCACCCCAAATATATTAAGTGCTTCTGTACTTTTTGAAACTACAGTGCTTCAGTGATTCTGTCTAGAGAGGCTTCTGCCAGAGGAAATTTGTGCAGGCGGCTATTGAAATGCCTTTGAAGGCACATGAGGAAATTCAGCCTTTAAGTTCAGAAAGTCCACTGTTGAGCAGTACTTGTCCTTATGAAACTGAATTAGTTTACTCAGCAAAATGCTCTCTAATGCCTCCCACATTATATAGTATTTTTTTAAATCATTGCTCCCGAATTTCTCAATCCATTCAGTTGTGAGTGGACACTTGAGCTGTTTCAGTTTTCTTGCAATGGTGAGTAACACTGCTATTAACACTGGTGTACAGACCTCTGTTTGTCTCTCAGTTCTAATTTCCTCAGGATATACTCCTAGTAGTGAAATAGCTGTGTCATACAGAGTGTCTATGTTCAACTTTTTGAGGAAAGGACAAACTGCCTTCCAGAGTGGTTACACCATTTTACAATCCCACCAACACTGTGAGAGTTCTTTTCTCTCCACATCTTCTCTGACATTTATTGCTTACTCCCCTACTAAACATTGCCACTGCCACTGGGGTGAGATGGTAACTCATTGTGGTTTTGATTTGTGTCACTTTTATTGGCAGTGATTTTGATTAAAAATAGAAGGATTAACTAGTAAAACATGTATCGGGACGCATATATGGGAAGGGATGGGAACGGAGGGGTGAGAATGGGTAGAGGAAAAAACCACAGGGTGGCACAATTTGGTGGGTGGAGGGGGTGAAGCAAATAGGAAGGATCTGGCAGGGGCCTGAAAAGACAGAGTAAGGATGTGCAAGGTCCAATGGTGATTAATTTTATAAAACAGAATTCATGAGAACGGTTGTATGAAACACAGTATCAATTAAGAATAGTGTGAAATACAATGTATATGGACTTGTAAGTATAAAATTAAAAAAAAATACCAATTAAAAAAATCCAGTTGCAAAAAATAAAAGTAAAACTTAAGGGGAGGAATTAAAAAGTCTACTCTTCAAATATGGGCAGAAAATGTGAACATGGCATTGTTAGTATTTACTGTTATTGTGTGTCATCAAGTCAGAACCAACTCATGGTTGATTCTCAAAAGAGTTTTCACAGCCTCTCAATAGTACTGGAGGAGACTGCCCATCTTACTCCCATGGAGCAGTTGGTGGATTTGAACTGCCTGTCTCTGGGCTGGCAGTTCAACTCCTTATGCACAAGACTACCAGAACTCCCTGGTATTTACATGTTTTACATTTTAATAGCCCTCAAGATAATGGGCTGGATTTAGACTTGGGTGTGTCTAAGTTCTTACATTCTATTATTCACTGAGCCAGCAGGACCATCTTGGCCACTGAAAGGAATTTTCTGGATTGACCCTTAGACCACATCAATAGGAAGAAGAATCTCAGATTCCTGGACCTGTTCTTTTCTGTGGTGTTTCACTTCTGCTATTCTGTGTTGTTTTGTTTACTTCTAATAACTTTTCTTAAAAAAAATTTGTTGTGTTCCATCGTATTGGATCTGACTGGCACAGGAAGAGATTGGCCCTCCTTCTCCAGCAGAGCATCTGGTGGATTCAAACCAGATGCCTTTGGGATTGCAGTGCAGCATCTTGCCACTAGGCCACCAGAGAGCCCTTAAATAATTTATTTTAAGAAAAACTTGACAAATTAGAGTATGAGCTAGTATATGAAAGGTCTATTAAACAGGTCACTGGAATTGAGTAAGCTGAGGATACTTGTGACTAAGAAGGTATTTGCTGAGTAGTGAAGAACAGGAACACTGGAGCCAGACTGCCCAGAGCTGGGGCCTGAAACACTATTTACTTCCTCTGTGAAGTAAATGATTTTAAATAAGGGTTCCTCCCCCTTTTCCTCAGTTCCACTGTCTTTAAAATGGTCATAATAGTACCTATTATGCAGGATAGTTGTTGGAAGGAATAACTATGTCATATGTGTATAAAGAAAGAGCCCTGCTGGTGTTGTACCTTACAAGTCAGTCTGCTCAAATCCACCAACTGCTCCTAAGGAGAAAGATGGATCATCTTATCTCATAAAGATTTACAGCAATGAAGGGTCACCAGGAATCAGAATCAACTCAGTGATAGCAGATTTAAGAAATTTTTGTTTCTTTGTTTGTGATTTTGTGGTTTTTTTTTATTGTTGGGTATTTTTGTTTGTTTGGGTTTTTTTGTGCATTAAACACTTGTACCTGTACTTGTATTAGTGCTAAGTAAATGCTAGCTGGAATCAGCAGCAGCAGTAGCATCTCTTGCAGAGGACAAAGCAAGACAGTAGATTTTGGCAAATAGAAGAAGGGGCTCTAGTAGTTAAAAGAGTCCAGCAGAAGAATAAATGTCCACTGGGTTGCCTGCTTTGGCTTGCAATGCCCAGTTGGATGACTTGCAAACTCTGACTCTTTGAATGCTTGATTGGATAACCCTGGTCTTTTTTGGTCATAGCAACAGCTGTATTTCCATAGTTGGGGGGGGGGGTCATGAAATTAAAATATGGGAGCCAAAAGCCCAAATTTACATTCTGGCTGTGGTCTTTTATCTCACTGGCTTACTCATTAACATGGAGTTGGAAGTGACTCATAGTTGATTCTCCAATGGGTTTTTGGGTAGACTGTTGAGTCACATGGAAGAAAATTGTCAACTTTCTGCCTCAGAGCCACGAGTAGATTGGAATCAGAGGTGCAGCCTTTGGTTTCACAGCACCAAAGCTGTGGACTGGGCCTCCAGAGCTCCCTCAGGCTTTTTCAGAGCTGGCACATTCTCCCAACACAGAACAAATCTTGGATAGTCATTGGGGCTTTAATTTAACATCAGGGCTGTAGCCACATCACTCTCGAAAGTGCAGAATCCACTGACTGTCTGCAAGAGGCATAACACAGCTGCAGACCTTTTGCTACTTCATTACATGTGACATGTAATGGCTTGAGGTGAGCAGAGCACAGTGCCCTCAGACAAGTGGGCAGCACTGAGCTAAACAGGATTTTGAAACAATCAGTTCCCCTTCCGGTTGATTAGTAACTGTTAACAATGCGTCTTGGTTACCACATGTCAGAGCAGAACTGGACTTCAGTGGCTTCTCAGTGGCTACCTTTCTAGAAGTAGATTGTCAGGTTTTCTTCCAAGATACTTTTTCTTTTTTTTTTAAAATGTTAACCATAATTTATTAAGATCCACACAAATTCCACTGTATATTCAGTAAAATACAAGTAACATCTTTCTGGCATTCTCTCTTTTTTCAGCTTAGCTTCATCTGACATGAGCATTAATGTCCCTTATGCCACTGCCTCTTCTCAATCTAGCTTAAGTTTATAGCAGTTCATGTATTGCTCAGGCACTTAAAAATAATTTTCAGCAAGATTTTAGCTGCATGTAATATTAATTGACAGTATCCACACTCTGCTGGATCATCTTTTTATTTTTTTAATTGATATTTTTTAAATTTTCTTTTTCTTTTTTTATTAATGATTTTTAATGCAACATATATTTTTATAGCATATTCTTCCCATTTAATTTTTCCCTTTTCATTCATTGTTGAACTTTTTCGATTTTAATGAAAGTTTATAAAGAACTTGGATTTCCAAACATTCATTGTTGCACATTTTCCTCCCTCTCCCCCTCCCCACCAGATCGCTTTTTTCTTTGGAAAAAAAGTTCTTTCATTGTTATACGGACCCCTACCCAGACCACTTTACTATGCAATTCTTATTCTGGACTCTTGTCATCCAGTAAAACCTAATCATACAATCCTTTTATGTAGTTCTCTCCCTCGTCTGTTTCAATGTCGTGTACATTATTTAACCCCTCTTTTCTTAGTTTCCTCCTAGCCCTCATGTCAGTCCTGTTTATAACAGTGGCATTATGCTGTATTTGTCTTTTTGTGATCGAGATATTTCACTCAGCATAATGTCCTCCAGGGTCACCATTTTGTATAACAATTCATGAGTTCCTTGTTTTCAATGCTGCATAGTATTCCATTGTGTGACTATACCACAGCTTCTTTATCCATTCATTTGTTGATGGGCATTTGGGTTGTTTCCAGCTTTTTGCTATTGTGAACAAAGCCACAGTAAACATGGGTGTGCACCAAGGCACTTCTTGAGGGACTTAGAACACCAGCTTTACAGTTGGCATGTGAACATATCAGCCATTTTCACCACCCAGGAGCTCCAAAAAGAACTGTAGAATTTCTAAATGAAACAAGTCACTGATTATTCAGTAGAGCCTCCTGGGTAGCATTTGATATAAGGATGGATTAAAAAAATATAGAATAGTAGAGCAGAAGTTGTAATAAAATGATGATGGTGGTGGCGGCTTATGATAATAGTAGCAATGAGTTGTTGAGTGTTCAGTATATGCTGAACATGGCTCTGTGCATTATTTATATATCAGTTTATATCAGTTCTGCAGTAAAGATGTTATTCCAAGTTTGTAGATGAAATGTCTGAACCTCAGAAGTACTAAGTGGAAGACCAGAATTATAACAGCTGTTCTAAAGCATAGCCCAGAAGAGCTGTGGGGCTGAGGAATTTTAAGTCATTAAGCATGGAACAATTGAAACAGAAATGATGAGAATATTAGCACAATGTAGAAAATATAGCGAATGTCACTGATCATTATGACTAGAAATCACTGGATGGGAATGGATTTTGCAGTGTATATTTTCACCAAATAGAAAGTATTAATATTTTAAAATGTTAAATGGCTTGTTTGCTCTGCGAATTTAGATGTGTTCTTGGACCATATAGACCTCTATTGATTATATTTTAGCCAGACACTGTGATTGTGCAGTCTAGCATCTCATTTTCAGTAGCCAGCCAGGGCGATCTGACTACAGGAAATTCTCTTCACTACACTACTTTTTCTTTAGTCAAGAGCGCTTATTTTTCAAATGATGACATGGAGACCAAATGTATTAATAGTGTGACCTAATAGTGAATTTAAGGTCAAATTCTCATTGGAAATTGGAATCGTCTGCTTGATTTCCTGGGATCCCTTCTTGGGCTGTGCTAATCTGTGTTAATTGTTGTACAGGATGGAAAGGAAACCAAATAGAACTCCTACCTTCAAAAATTTATGATCTAGGTTGATGTATATGTCTAAGAGAGGACCACGCCTTAGCTCCAGATCTGTTTGCTCCCATGACAAGGACGTGTCTAACACTCAGGGCTAATGCTATTGACTTAGATGCTAAGTCACTCTCTCATCATTGCCATCAAGTAGCTGACCTTTCAGAGGGTTGTCAGAAGAGGAGATTGCCATCTTTCTCCCAAAGAGCCACTAGTGGATTAGAACCACTCGAGAGGGGCCACCTTTAAGTTGGTAGTACAACTCCCTACACAGTAGGCCATCCATAGGTTTGACTTGAACACAACCATCCAGATTCTTTGACTTTCCTTGGACCTTATAGGTGAGATAACTTCTCTTCACACTCTTATACCACTTATAGCCCATTCTCCATACATCCTTTTCAAATTAAAACAAACCTAGACCCTTCCCAGCATAAAATCTTCCAAAGGCAAAAACCTTTGCATCAGCAGATGCTAGTATAATCTCCCATCAAGATACTTTCATATTGTGTATTTTTTTTTCCTTTCCCAGGAATATTCTTCCTTTCCACTTACTCTTCACTTGGTAACCTCCTATTCATACTTCAGATCTCAACTAAAACATTAACATCTCCTCTAGAAAGCCTTCTTAGTGTTCTGCTAAGTCTTCATGGTTACTTTTGTTTTTTTCTGTGTAGCATTGTCTTTGAGTTTGAAGTCATGTAGCTGTGTGGCTTGTGTGAAAAAAAAGTCTGCCTTTTAGATTGTATGCTCCACTAGTATGGGCACTGTGCCTTGTCCCACATTGTGTCCCTGCTTGTCCTAGAACACCTGCTCAGCAAATATTTGCTGAACGGTTGAATGGACATGGTCCATGAGAGGAGTCATGCATTTACCATGCCATCGTTGTGAGTTCCTTAAGAGAGTCTTTGTTAGTTAGGAAATGCCTGTTAGAGTTATCTCTGTAGTCAGGACTGTCTGTTCTGGAGGAAGAAAGAAGACCTGAGCAAATAATGCTCCATCCTTTTTAGGTAGCAAGAGAGGCTCTTCCTTTACAGTCTTTCTTCCTCAGTGAAAACCATTTCTGAACAATAGAAAACACATTTTTGAAGGCATAATTTGATATTATCTAGAGACCTCCTTCCCACCTCTTTGCTAGATAATCATGAAGTATCTATAATTGCAAATTCCCAGTGTCTTGGCATCACTAATTATGCCACAAAGGAAAAACCTAAGAGTAGCTGAAACCTAGGCTTTCAAAACATAACCCAGGGCTTCAGTTATAATAGTTGTAAAATAGCTTTTCTCAGAATTAAAAGTAACACGAGATGCTTTTATTTCTTATTTGCTTTTAGCCCAGAAGGTCCTTTCTTGTGGCTATATCATTCAAAGTAAGTATCTTTGAGTTCTAGCTGTCTATTGCTGTCTTAAGGAGCCCTAACGGTGTAGTGGTTAGAAAACTCAGCTGCTAACTAAAAGATTGGTGGTTTGAACACACAAGCCACTCTGTGTCAAAAAGATACATGATGGTCAACTTCCATGAAGGTGATAATCTTGAAAACCAGTTAAAGCTGTTCTACTCTATGCTCTAGTAATATTAGGGGTTGAAATTTACACCATGAAAATGGTTTGGGCAGTCCATTCTTCATACAGAGAATCCAGTGACAAAACTAAGGTCAAACTCAGACAGAAGTGGGTGCGATTCCTCAAACTCTGGATTATATTCTTTCTCCATAGGACCAGGGTTTGTTTTTGCCTTACTTCACCACAAGGATCTCTCTAAGTGATATTTTTCAGAAACATTATTGTCTGACTTGTAATAATAACAACCTGGTAAGAGATTATCCATTTGCCCAATATATGTTGTGTGTAGGACCATCTAAGACATTTCTCTAAAGTCTTTTCTTGATGATCTAATGACTGTCTCTCTCTTTTTTTAAATAAAGTTTCAGTTGTTTGTTTTCAATATAATGAGAGCTAGTGAGCCATCATTTTCTTATTTTTGGCTTGATTTCCATTGCTTTTATTTTCATCAGTTTTTATTTCTGATGTAATGTATTTCTTGTTATTAAATCTTGGCTTTTTATGGTCATGCACCATGAGACCTTGGCAACTTGCTCCAACCCACTAGACCAAGATCTTAGCTGTAAAATGAAAACAAGGTAAAAACTCTATTCACAAAGCAACTGGGAGGGCCAAGGTCGTGTGAAATGCCTACCCAAGGGACTAAATCTCTCTCTGTCTCTTGTTATTTTTTGTTTTCGGTCATTTCTCTGTTTATAATGCCTATACTTTTTCTTTCTTTTCCTTTTATCATAAGCCACCTCAAATACTTCCTGGAAGCAAATAGGCTTTATAATAAGTTTCCTTATGTTATTGTATCTGTTCATGACAGATACTTATACTATTCATGAGACTGTTAACAGCTTCAGTTTGCTTGGCTCTACAATCAACACTCTTGGTACCAGCAGCCAGGAAATTAAAAGATGAATTGCATTGGGAAAGTCTGCTGTCAGAGACCTCTCCAAAGTCATGAAGAGCAACGATGTCAGTCTGGAGACCAAGGTGTGCCTAATCCAGGCCATGGTCTTTGCAATTACTTACTATGTATCAGAAACCTGGACAATGACTAGGGATGATAGAAGGAGAATTGATGCCTTTGAGCTGTGGTGCTGGAGAAGAGTATTGAATATATCATGGACTGCTAGGAGAACAAACATCCTGAAAAGTTCATCCTGGAGAGGGTGAAGCCAGGCTGCTCCTTGGAGGCAAGGATTCTGAAGCTTCATCTGACAAACTTTGGGCATGTTGAAAGGTGGGATCAGTCCTTGGAGACAGACATCATGCTTGGGAGTTTGGAGGGACAGTGCAGGAGGGACAGTTGAGGTGAACTGATTCAGTGACTGGGGTAATAGGGATAGGTGTGTTAAAGACAATAAGATTGGCACAGGATAGAGCAGGGTTTAGGGCTGTTGTACATAGGGTTGCTATGAGTCACAGGTGACTCGATGGCACATAACTACAAAATCTGTTCATGAACCATCTAGCCATTTTATTTGTTCATCTCCCCTTCCATTATTCCATTCTTCTTAAGAGCCTCCAACTTTGAGAGATGGTCCCATTGAAATAGTGTGGAGAGCTCCTAATGTAGATAGCTAAGGTAACCTGACTATAATTTCCTGATCTTCTGGTTCAGAAACCCTCAGACTTTCTGAGTTAGTCTTGGTTGACCTTTGAGCAACCTGCGTTTTTCTAGTTTAGCAGAAGACAATTTCTGATAATATGCATCAGTTTATTGTTATGACTATGACAGTAATTTTCACCTTACAGAACTCTCTCAGATGTGCGATGTCATTCAGTCCTTAAAACTATCTACATGAGAGGCCTGTTATTAGGATGATTAACTATACTTTTCACATGTGAAAAAGATCTAGAGAAGGACAATGACTTATCACAGTCACAGAACTAGTGGCAGATCCAGGGCTCAGGCTTCTGTTTCAGTGCTTCATATCATCTCTGTCTTTTCTTCTCCATTTCTCCTTGGTAGGGTTTCCTGGGTGAGCTGAGTACCAAGATGAGGACAGTTGGAAAGCTTCAGATGTCTTCAGTTCAGCAAAAGCAGCTTCATTTTCCTTTAACTGACATATTTTTTTAAATGTTCATTATAAACAGGGTTTGGAACCCCTTCCTCCACCCCCAGTTTTGGGACTGTTTCATTTTCTAAAAATATATATAATCTTTTTCATTTCTTAGAAACCCAGAAGTTGGTGACAGCAGCACTCAGAAGGGCTGGTGGTTTCCAAGCTGGTTTAACAATTGGTAAGGGCATCACATGGCTAATCTGTGCTTGTTCAGTTACCCAAAAATGTATAGAGTCCAGACAGAATGTTTTCATACTTGTGTTCTTCTCAGTCACTTGACTTATCTGCTTATTGGAATCACATGAGAATTGATTAGGACTAGTATATTTTTAAATAAACTTTGAGTTTATCTGACCTGAATTTAAAAACTATCTAAAGATTAGATTTAATGCATGGAACACTAACTACCCAAGACTAGATGATTTGTGGGATGAAATCAAGGACATTGTCTGTGAAGAAAGCAAAAGGTCAGTAAAAAAGAAAGTCCCAAAATGGATGTCAGAGGAGACCCTGAAACTTGCTAGTCAACTTAGAGAAGTTAAGGCAAATTGCAGAAATAATGAAATAAGAGAGCTGAACAGAAACGTTCAAAGATAAGCTGGAGAAGTTTTATGACATTTTGGAATGAGAAGTTTTATAACAAAATGTACAAAGAACTAGAGTTAGAAGACCAAAAGAGAAGAACACACTTGGTATTTTTTTAAGTTGAAAGAACTGAAAAAAAAAAAAGTTCAAGGACTGAGTTGCAATACTGAAGGCTTCTATGAGTAAAGTATTGAATGATGTAGAAAGCATCAAGAGAAGATTGAAAGAATACATGAAGTCACTGTACCAAAATGAATTGGTTGACGTTGAACCATTTCAGGAAGTAGCATATGATCAAAACCAAATGATAATGAAGAAGTCCAAGGTATTAGGGGAAAAAAAGATAGACTACTGATTGAGGTGTTTCAACAAACAAATGCAACCCTGCATATGCTCACTAGTCTATACCAAGAAATTTAGAAGACTTGGCCCACTGACTGTAAAAGGTCTCTATTTGTGCTTAAAGATAATCCAACAGAATATAGCAATTATCAGACAATATCATATGCAAGTAAACTCTTGCTGCGGATTATAAATTGTATGTGTATGAAGTAGAACATAGCATCAGGATTGAAGGAAGACTCAGCAACAACTTGTATTATGCAGATAACACAACCTTGCTTGCAGAAAGCAAAGAAGATTTTAAGCACATACTGCAGAAGATCAAAGACAACAGCCCTTCAATATGAGTTCTATCTCAACATCAAGAAAACATCAAGAATAATCCTCACCATTGGACAACATTGGCAACATCGTGATAGAGAAAAGATTGAAGTAAAGAATTTCATTTTACTTGGATCCACAATTAACACGCAGGGTGGCAATAGTCAAGAAATTTTTAAAAATGTGTTGCATTGGGAAACTATGCTGTCAAAGACCTCTTTCAGACTGATAAAAAAAGCAAACCGTTTAAGAACTCAGGTGTGTGCCTGATCCAAGCTATGGGTTTTTCAGTTACCTCCTATGCATCTGAAAGTTGGGCAATGAATAAGGAACACCAAAGAAGAATGGCTTCATTTGAATTGTGATGCTTATGAAAAGTATTAAATATACTGTTTTAAGAAGAATGTAGGCAGCCTTGAGATGGCCAAGTCTGACCTCTACTTATTCCACAAAGGGGAACTTTCTCCATCAACACTATCCAGAATATAAAACTAATTCCTATAATGTCAGACAATGGTGTTCCACACTCCTTCACCTATTTCTAGTGATTCCAACGTCAATCTTACTGCTCAATAGAGTCTAAAATATATTGCAAGGACCACACAGACTTCACAGGACCATGTTCATCGTTATTATGGGGTTTATTAGGAAAGTTAAAAAGCTCTAATTTAGTGTGGCAGTAGGATACACTCCTTTAGTCCAGACAGCTTCTTAGGCATGGCCACAGACCCTTTGACCTTCAGCCTCGTGGATTAGGCAGGCCAGTGTTATAAAGTCTCCTTAGTGTTTTTAGTTATTACATCATCCCTCAGCCTCTGACACTGACTCCATGGGGCAGCAGTCCCAAGTCCATTTTGTTTTATGTCAATTTCTGGTTCTCTGCTGAGCTGTTGCTACTCTGTGTAAATTTCTGGCATCTGAATTTCTGGTCCCAAGGATGTGCACTACACTCCCTACTTTCTCTTCCTTGCTGGTTGAGATTCTGTTGCTGAAATAATTTGATTTAAACCTAGCGGGATGGTAAGACTAATCAATCCCTTGTGTGGGATCCCTGAGACTATCCCAATCCTTGTGGACAGACTAACACAGCCTATATATATAAATATAGTCCCACCTAGCCATGTGGCAAAGTCAAAGTCAGTCAATGGATAGGAAAGCCATTTTGTAAAACAAGCCCTTGACACCACAGACCACACCATGGTTTTCTAGCCATTAAGCTTTATGTTTGAAGAATCAACTTTCCTCTTACAATCATCTTACTAATTACTAAATTCATGAAAGCCTGTAAGCCAGCTACTTCATACCTCCTACCTTAATTGCCCTTATTTTTAGATAGCCAATTTCTAATTTACCTCTCTCTCAAATCAGTACTCTGAGAAAACACATTTTCCTGAAGACACTTTTGCTCCCATTATAATTTTTAGCATCTGCATCTATAGGCAAAGTCTATTCCAGAGCAAATCATCCGATTGCAGTAATTTATATTAGCTGGCAGCATCAGATGTCATTTTTTCATCTGGATGAGTTCTGTTCAACTACTCCAGCCAGCAGTCCTTCATTTATCCATACCTCTGTGGAAATTAGGTCCACAGTGCCTATAGAAATCAGCTCAGCTCTTCATTGTTGTGACTTCTACTTACACTGTAGTGTAGCAGCATGAGGACAGCAGAGTCTGACCTCTCCTAACTCCACAAAGGGAAACTGCCATTATCAACACCATCCACAGTACAAAACTAATTCCTATAAGGTCAGACATGGTCTTCCACTTTCCTGCTTTTGCTAATTCCATTACCATTCTCACTGCTTCTCTGGGTCTGTAATACATTTCAGTGATTTTAGACTTCATAGACCCATACTTATGGTTATGGGGTTTATAAGAGAAGTCAGCAGGCTATAATTCAGGTTGGCAGCTGGATACATTCTCTTAAACCACACAGCTCCTCAAGCATGGGTGCAGGCCCTACAACCTTAAGCCTCATGGATTAAGTCAGTGTTACGAAGTTCCTTTAATTCCATCAGTTATGTCTTCCTTCAGTCCTCTGGTAAGCTGGAGTGAAGGTCCCTAGCTCTGGCTCTGTGAGCAGCATTCCCAAATCCACTCTATACTATGTTGGTCTCTGGTTCTCTGTTAATGCTGATGTTGCTTTTGTGTAGATCCCAGTCTGGCTGGGGCAGAAATCTCTGGCCTTAATGGAAGTGTGCTGCTTCTCCTTCCTTGTTTGTATTAAGATTCCCAGTCTGCTAACATCGCCTGATTTTACCTATGGCATGGTGACTAACCGATCCCCTTGCAGATGGACTAACCCACCCTCTTTGTATGATCCCACCTATCGATGTGGCAAAGTCAAAGTCAATGGCTAAGAGACCATTTTGAACAACTAAACCCTCAACACCACATTCTTTTGCACTGCCAAAAGAATGAACAAAGCATCTGTCTTGAGAGAAGTGTAACCAGTGTGCTCCTTCGAGGCAAAGATGGTGAAGCTTCATCTCACACACTTTGGGCATGTTGTCAAGAGGGACTAGTCCTTGTAAAAAGTATCATACTGGGAACTGTAGAGGGTCAGCAATGTGGAGTGACACAGTGACAGTGACAGTGGTTAGGAATGGTGGCTCATGAGCGTGGTACAGGATAGACAGGACAGACTTAGATCTGTTATCCAGAGGGTCACTGTGAGTTGTAATTGACTACACAGCACTTAACAACAACCACAGCAGCATCTGAATTAGTTAACAGGAGAAGTTCTGCCTGAACGGTCATTTTTCTTCAGTGCAATCACTTGTGGACAACAGAAAAATATATTTTTTCCCCCAGCCATGATTTGACATTATCCAGAGACCTCCTGACCACCCCTTGTACTAGATAATCTTGAGGTTGCTGCTATTGTGAATTCCCAGTTTCCTGACATTGATTATGTCTCAAAGGAAGGTCAAAACCTGAGAGTAGCTGAAACCCAGGCTCTCAACATAGCCCGAGGCTTCAATTATAATAGTTATAAAATAACTTTTCTCAGAATTAAAGGTAACATGATCTGTTTTTATTTCTTGTTTGCTTTTAGCCCAGATGGTTCTTTCTTGTGGCTATATCCTTCAAAGTAAGTATCTTTGAATTATATTGTGGAAATGATAATAAATTATGAATAACATTGAGAAGAAAGAGAATTGTGCTCATAAAAAACCTGCCGGTAGACCAAGGAGCAGTTATTCAGACAGAAGAAGGGGATGCTGCTTGGTATCCCCTTTAATTTAATGTTGAAAAGGTGTATGTCAGGTTATATCCTTTCTCCATGCTGATTCAGTATGTTTGGTGAGCAAATAATTTGAGAAACTGGACTATATGAAGAAGAATGTAGTATCAGGATTGTAGGAAGAGTCATTAACAACATGCATTGCGCATATGAAACAATCTTGCTTACAAAAAGTGAAGAACACTTGAAGCTTATTGTAGAAGATCAAAGACTATAACCTTCAATATAGATTATATTTAAACCTCAAGAAAACAAAAGTTCTCATTTGGACAAATAAACACATAATGATAGATGGAGAAAAGATTGACGTTTTCAGTGATTTAATTTTACTTGACTCCTCAGTCAACACCCATGAGTAGCAGAAGTCAAGAAATTAAAAGACATATGGCATGGGGATATCTACTGTCAAAGACTTTTGTATGTTATCTATGATCTAGGTGCCTCTGACCCAAGACATGGTATTTTCTGTTGCTTCATATTCATGTAAAAGTTACTAAAAAGCTCATCTTGCCTGAACTAATAGCTGGCACTTCATTGTGTTTCCAAGGCTATAAATGGCATGAGAAGAAATTGCCCATCTTCCCCACAGAGCTGCTGGAAGTAGAAACTTCTAGACAGAACCTATAGACTACCAGAGCAACCTGTGTAAAAGTTGGACAGTAAATAAGGAAAATCAATGAATTGATGCCTTTGAATTGTCATGTTGGTGAAGAGTATTGAATATATAATGGACTGCCAAAACAGCAAAGATATCTGTCTTTGAAGTACAACCGTTGCTCTTTATAGAGTCAAGAGTGGTTAAACCTCATCTTACATACTTTGGGCATTTTGTCAGGAGGTGTCAATCCTTGGAAAAGACAATGCTCAGAGAAGTCGAGCATAAGCAAAAGAAAAGATGCCTTCAACAAGATGGATTGATGCAGTAACTGTGACATGACGTGAGCAGGGCAGCATTTGTGAAGATGGCATACGATAGAAGAAAGTTTTGATTTTTTTGTTCACAGGGTCACTAAGAGTCTTAGTCAACTTCAAAATGCCTAACAATAACAAGAGTGGCATCCACTTCCTAAATAACATGCCTCTGGAAACTCTGAATTTTGATATATGTCGATAGTTGTAGAGGGGCTTCAAGCCTTTTGTTCAGAGGGTCACAGTGAGTTGTGCTCGACTTGAAGACAATCAACAACAACAACAACAGGATAGTCAAGTTTTTAGTTCTATCCCCCTAAGTTAACTTGAGGTTGGAGGTTAGGCTGGTATGTAGATTTCAGGAAATAAAAACTAAAATGAGGATCATTTTAGCAACTTTCTCACATCCTCTGAAAAGATGTTGGGGTCCTTGAGTCCTAAATTACCTAGAAATGTAAAAGGAAAGATGAGTACAATTGACCCTTTTAGGTTTAGAATGCCAACCCTCCATGCAGTTGAAAATATGCATACTACTTCTGCCAAAACATAACTACTAATAGGTTATTGCTTACCAGACTCTTTAATGATATGAAGAGTTGATTTACACATTTGTGTACATATTATATACTGCAACTACATAAAAGCTGATTTTTTAATATGAGATTAAAAGATATTCCACAAAAAGTAAAAGGCTTTCATGCCTGCTTGGGTAGTGGCAATAATGGCTTCTTCAATAATGTTGTTTTCCTGTTTAACTATGTTCATTATATGGATTAATTTATTGTGGAATGGCAGGCAAACACGGCTGAAACAGTCAGGTATGCTATGACTTTTCTCTGCTTCTTGAGAGCATCTCCAGTATCACTAATGTCACTTTGTATGAGTTGCATGGTATTATTCAAGGTCTATGGTATTGGACAAACCATAATTAAAAATGTATGAAAGCTGAAATTGATCATCTTTTATTGCAATATGTGCTCTTTGTTGAAAGACAAACTGCACAGAAACAGTTAGTGTCACGTGGCATTTTAAGTGGATGTTCCAATGTATCTGTTGAAAAGGATCGATCAGCACAGTTCAAACCCATGTGTGTAAGGGGCACCTGTGTTGTGTCTTCTCATCAAAACCGTATTTTTATGAATGAAAGCTTAATGTTCAGAATCTCTCCTAAATTGATTCACTTGATGTCTATGTTTCTCTGTTTATAAGCATGTATTAACAAGATATTCTCTGCTTGCCTCAACATTGAAGATTGTCTTTGCTTATTCTACTCACTTTCTCTTTGTACTCAGGACTCAAGGGTATCAAGAAGACATAGACAAAAAGGAAGACGAAGAACTTGCGTTGTCAGACTGGTTTAATCCATTGTAAGAAACCAAATATTTCCCCTTGAACAGTAAATCCATAGTTAAGTGGTGGGAGGGGGGGAGAGGGGCGCAATGCCATGAGAACATTCTTGATTTTGAGAGTTGTATTACATATCAACTCATTTTTGTCAAATCAGAACTGACTCCTAGCTGGCCCTCCTTTGGGTTTCCAAGGCTGCAACTCTCATGAGAAGAGATTGCCCATCTTTCTGACACAGAGCCACCGATGGATTGGAATCACTGGAGAATGGCATGGCTATTGAGTTAGCAGTGAAACTCAGTACATATTAGTTCTTTACAGTAGATTATAGGTATGAGCCTGAGATTCTAGATGCTTTTATCCAAATACTTGAGTAACCCAATCATTCTGAAACCAATTGGCCAATAATAGCAGATGAATCATAAACTATTGGGGCAGGAAGGGCTCTTATAGGTCATGGAGTATTGTAGAAAGCCACAAGATATGGAGTCAGAATTAGACAATCTCCCTCTGCAACATGAGAATGGTGATAATAATCTCATGGGGTCATGCATTTGTTAATTAAGTATGTGTATAACAAATATTTATCACATTATCTCCATACCTTTTCAACCTATATGCAGAACAGATTATCCGGGAGGCTGGGCTCTTTGAGGAGAAATGTGGGGTCAAGATTGGTGGACAATTTATCAACAATCTGCGTTATGCGGATGACACAACCCTGCTTGCTGAAACTGAAGAGGACCTGAAGCCCCTGCTGCAGAGTGTCAAGGACTACAGCCAACAATATGGATTGGGGCTTAATGTCAAGAAGACAAAGATTCTCACCACTGGACCAATTGGCAGCATCAGAATGGATGGTGAAGAGATTGAGATTTGTACACAGCTTTAGTTTGCTTGGCTCCATAGTCAACAGTCTTGGCACCAGCAGCCAGGAAATTAAAAGGCGCATTGCCATGGGAAAGTCTGCTGTTAGGGACCTCTCCAAAGTACTGAAGAGCAATGGTATCTCTCTGGAGACTAAGGTGCGTCTGATACAGGCCATGGTCTTCGCAATCACCTGTTATGCATCAGAGAGTTGGACAATGACCAAGGAGGATAGAAGGAGAATTGATGCCTTTGAGCTGTGGTGCTGGAGAAGAGTATTGAGAATACCATGGACTGCTAGGAAAACACAGATTTGTCCTGGAAAGGGTTAACTGGGTGGCTCCTTGGAGGCAAGGATTCTGAGGCTCCGTCTAACATACTTTGGACATGTTGTGAGGAGAGACCAGCCCTTGGAGAAGGACATCATGCTTGGTAGGGTGGAGGGACGGCGCAGGAGAGGAAGGCCCTCTATGAGGTGGATTGATTCAGTGACTGGGATAATTGGGATGGGAGTGTCGGAGACAGTGTGATTGGCACAGGACAGAGCGGAGTTTAGGGCTGTTGTACATAGGGTCGCTATGAGTCGCAGGCGACTCGACGGCACATAACAACAACAACAACAACAACAACATTGTGTGCTAGTCCACTCTTTTTCAAACTTATCATTACTACCTATTTGTTCAGAAATTAGCTTAATGGGTCCACTTTTTAGAAGAGGAATAAAATAAAAGAAAATATCTCAAAGAAAAGAAATACAGTTTAGTAAGTTTTTCTGTATGTATGTGTGTATGCATATTTTAGGTTATAATATGAATATGATATTATATGATATTAGGCATTGACTTAGGCACACAGGATAGAAGAAATCAATCAGTATGTGAAGCTCATGGTTTTATAGGGCCAATAGACATGAGGCAAGTACTTACTCACGTTGTTAAGGAGGTACAGTCACATTACTTTAGAGATGAATGCAGTTTGTTGTGTGACTACAGTGGCTGGTGATACCATTGATCAGGAGAGGGTTGAGGAAGAGAAACAGGTCTGGGAGTAGGGGCAATAATAAGCTCCATTAGAACGGAGCTTCTCTTGAAGTGCTTCTGAGGCACCCGGCTGAAGATTCACAAGGTGCCTAAGAGGTTGGTAGAAGATATATACTGAGTATGAGGTATGATTAGAAAGCCAGGTGTCAGTGGAATCTGTAGGCTTGGAAGAGGGAGATGAAAAAAGACCAAATCCTGTTTGACAGCAGCATTTAAAAGACGGGTAGAGGCAGAGAAGTTTGAAAGAGAGACTGAATTGGAACAGCCATAGACATAGACAAGGCTTATTCCAGTTTGAATCGTGTTCAGCTCTGGAGAGATCTGAATATGTTATGCCATGTTTTCTTATTATTTTATGGTGAGGGTCCATACAGATGTGGAAGGACAACAGTTTTGGCCTGCTGTGTGTACAAAGACAAACACTGAGCTGGACAGCATGTTGGCTGGCTGTGAGATGCTAAACTATTTCTGAAAATAGAAGGAGATGGAAATAATGCTGTTTTGATGATAAGCTCCTCAGATAGAGGCATGGAACTCTCCAAAGTACTGGCTAGATGAACCAGAGATAATTACCAAGTTTCCTTCTAAGGAGGAAGAGTCAGTTTGACTCTGGGGTTGTGCTTTACTACGAAGGACCAGGGGCCGTGGCTGAATCACTGCAAGTATAGAGCTAGATTCTGTGCACCAGCTGTCACTTTTTACTCCCCCCACATAGCGTGTTCAGCTTCCCCTCCAAAGGAATAGTTAGCAGATATTTAAAGAAAATTCATCTGAAGAGGCACCAAGTTTATGCCTTCTCAGAATATCAAAGTATACCTGTTGTATAAATTAAAGATTGAATAAATGAGTTAACAAAATATTTTATGTAAATGGTAACACCAAAAAATGAAAATATATTGCAGACATGTTTCTACATGTGTGTATTAAGACCTCTTGACGTCCATGATACCATATCTTGTTAATTTTTCCTGTTTCTCCTCTCTCAAGTCACCTTTATAGGGTCGCCTTCCTCTTCTCAGTCATAAGATATTACCATTTTCAGGGGCTTGGCCCCACATCCTTGTTTCTTTTGATTCGCACCATCTTGCAAGGTGCTCTCATCCATTTCTATGGCTAAAGTACCATTTGTGTTATGATGACTCATACATTTCTTTCCCGAAACCATTTCCTTTGAGGACGGCACTTTTCTTTAATAGCCTATTGACTCCTGGATGTCTCACGTGGTCCAAATGGATTTCTTGATTCATCTCCACCCTTGTTCTTCCTCCTTATTTCTCATTTCAGTAAGTGACCCAAGCTTAAAGCCCAGGAAATCCAGGGCCATCCCTTTTCCCACTTGCCCCACAATTCAATATATTAGCAGGTTATGTTCATTCTTCCTCCAAACCACTTCTCATATATCATCTCCTTCTCTCTGTTCCACAACCATTGTTTTTGTTCAGTTTACCGTCAGCTTTTCTCTGAATCGCCAGCTAGCACATTGACTTTTTAGAAGAATGAACTGATGACAGAAGAATAATTGTTGCCTTTGATGTTACTGGAGAAGAGTAGCGAAGGACTGCCAAAGGCACAAATAGCTATGTCTTGGAGAGATTGTACTCAGAGCACCCCTTGGAGGCAAAGATAACACAGCTTCATCTCTCAAACTTTGGGTGTGTTGTTAGCAGAGGCTCTTGGAGGAGAACCTAATGTTTGGAAAGGTGGAAGGTTGATGAGAGAGAGGAAGACACTCAACAAGATGGGTTGACACAGTGACTGTGGCAATGGGCCCAAGTGTATCAGAAATGATGAGAATGACACAGGGTAGGACAAGGTTCAGAGCTGCTGTTCATAGGCTTGCTATGATCGGGCTCAGCTCAACAGCACCTAACAACATGGCTTTTTAGGAATTTAAATAATGTGTTGGATGCATTTGACATCTTTTTCCCTTTTAAGTTGCTGCATGATTCATGATATTTTAACACTTCCTAACCCCAAACCTTCAATACAACATATTTAACTATAAATAAATGCATAAAATTCAAAAGCTATGACTAATCTAACTAGTTGTGGAGATAGTATGTGTATGTGTGTGCACACGTGTGTACATGCATGCACACAGCCTATGTCCCATGATTATGGAACTACATGAGTGTTGAAGCACATTTGCTGTAAAATTGTAGTGCTGTAAGGTGCTGAGGAGTTTGCTCTGACTCATAGCAAACCTGTGTAGGACAAGACTAAACTGTTCTTTCTTTGTACCTTCACAGTCTCTGCTGTGTTTAAACCCGTTGTTGCAAGCACTGTGTCAATCTTACTCAGGATCTTCCTCTCAGGAACTGGCCCTCCTGATAAATGCCCGAAGTATGTGAGATGAAGTCTCACCGTCTTTCCTTCTAAGGGGCACAGTAGCTGCACTTCTCAGACAGTTTCATTTGCATCTTTTGGCAATCCATTGTGTATTCAGTATTCTTTGCCAATACCACACTTCTAATAGTGAGAGTAGTAAATAGCATCTATGTAACTTCTGATGGGTTTAGGTGAATCAAAATCAAACCTGTTCTCTATGAGGTGACTTGAATGTCAGAGATTGTGGGGATGGCACAAGATAGGAAGGAGTTCACATCTATTGTTCGTAGGGTCACTATGAGCCATGCTTAACAGTACCTAACAACAACATGAGGTGGAGGCCAGACATACCGCACGTCTCCAATCTTTTTACTAATTCTCATCTAAGCTGTCCCTTCCATGGCCTTCTCTACTTCTCGTCTGGGTTTAATAACCCAATGCAATGGCCACACAGAATTCACAGGCCGTTCTTGGAATTAGGTGGATTATTAAGGAACAGAGCAGGCAAAATCTCCCTTCATCAGTGCAGAACACTCTCCTTTCAGCAGTGCAAGTCTCCCTCCTTAGTTCCCTAAGGACAGGCTTCTCTTGGCTTTGTCATCTGTCACCACTGGCTCTGCTTACTGGGCCCCTTGCAGACCCTATACTGTCTTCAGCAGAACTGACATCTTACAGCTTTTTTAGGAAGTTCCTTGCTTCTCTCATTTGTTCTTTCTTTTATTTCTTCCTTTTGCTTCTATATCTATAAAAATTCTCTCTGATGTTTGCTGCTTACACACAGTTTC